ACATCTTTTGCAAATATTCCTGTGTTTACTAGATATTACTCGTGTGCTATCTAACAATTGTTACAAAAGATCTATAAAATCGAAACTCTTAGGAGAAAAAAGTCACTTATATTCAGAAAGCACTAAGGGATATGTTTAAAACACTACTTTGAATGTACACTCCTCACACTTTTCAGAATTGGAAAATGTCCAAAAGCAGAGTTAGTGTGTATACAGCACAGACTACCTAAACTGATCAAGAGTTCTATTCTCTACGAGACCTATTGATTTTGGAATGGTCGTCAAGATTATGCAAAAGTTGAAGTTCCTCCATTTGAAAGCCAAGGATGCTTAACTTGATCTAGTGAGTTAATAATTTGTCTATGTTGAAGTTTGAACATTTTAGAGATGTTTTGCTCCAAACTAAATAGGTAAAAGTTACCAAGCTCACATTTGTAATAAGCATTAACTCATAATAACCAATGTCTGTTCTCAGAATGTAGATAACATTAACAGTACAGTGGTATTACATATTAGAGAAAAGTAATTAGGCATGTGGGTATGGTACTGAAGTATAAAAGCAGTAATTTTAGATATTTTATATTAAAGGAGCAATAAAGGGTCAGAAACACAGACATGTTTTCCTGACCCTATAGGGTTAAAACCACCATCTAGCCACCGTGGGCCCCTCATGCCTCCCTAAAAATATTAAAATCTTACTTTTATTCAAGCCTGAAGCTGTAGATATGCATGCTGTTAGCTTTAGAAAAAAAATGTTCTGCTGACATCAGAAGTGGTAGCCTGATCCAATCACAATGCTTCCCCATAGGATTGGCTGAGACTGACAAGTAGGCATATCAGGGGCAGAGCAAGCACACTTCAAACACAGCCCTGGCCAATCAGCATCTCCTCATAGAGATTAATTAAATAAATGCATGGAGGAGACACTGAATGTTTGGATGCATTTTAGGTCATGACCCAAGAAGGATCTCCAACAGCCATCTAAGGAGTCGCCAGGGAAGTTATCACTAGACTGTAATGTAAACATTGCATTTTCTCATAAAAGACAGTGTTTACAGCAAAAAGCCTGAAGGTAATGATTTTACTCACCAGAACAAATTCAATAAGCTGTAGTTGTTCTGGTGACTATAGTTTCCCTTTAAAGGAGCAATATAGTGTCAGGAATACAAATATGTATTCCTGATACAAAAGATCTAAATAAACTTTTAGTCCCCTGGGCCCACCTACCTCCGGTGAGAATGGGGATTTACTCACCTTTACTCTCCTTTTTCCAGCGCTGCAAGGGTCAAGTCGCAGCTGGCTCCACCCCCTTGGCTAAGATACTCAGCCAATCCAACTCTTTCCCAAAAAGCCACTTTGCGTCAATCAGCATCTACTCATAGAGATGCATGGACTCAATGCATCTCTATGGGGAAAGTTCAGCGCGTCTATGCAGAATGTGGAGACGCTGAACGTCCGTATTGCAGTGAGGCACGTTGTCTGAGTGACGGCCACTAGATGTGTCCCTAGGCAGCAATGTAAACACTGCCTTTTCTCTGAAAACACGTTTTCGTTGAAAAACCTGCAGCGACAGGATACAGACACCAGAACAATTGGTGTCTACGGTATCCCTTTAAGAATATTTATGGTTGGTAATGTACTGATATGTCTCAAGTTCCAATTCACTTTGAGCATTAAAAGTTCTGTACTATGACAATATTTAGAATCAATGATTTGATTTCTTGTCTGTGAATAAATCTAATTCACCTCGTGCTCACTGAAAGGCTTTAATAATTTAAAGCAGGGTTCGACAAAATTACTGGGATTTTCCAGCTCTCTAGTTAGTGTGGCTGCCGAGGGAGCTTTGACGGCGGTCGTCATGGGGAATATTACAGGCGGCCGGACGAGGCAGCATGGAGGCGGTTGCAGGAGCATTGTGGGCGGTGCGAGTGGGAGCAGTACTCTGCGTGCAGCTGCTCTCTGCTCCCTCGCGCTGTCTAATAATGCCGGGAACCCGAATATGACGTGATTCTAGCCCCGGCATCATTACAGAGCGTGAGGGAGCAGAGAGAAGCTACAGGCAGAGTACTGGTCCTTCACACACCGAAAGAGAGAAGACCCACTCAGCTCTCCCAAAGCCTAAGTGGATTTTAATTAAAACAAAAATGTAAGTGTGTGATTGTGTGAGAGCCTGTCAGAGTGTGTGTGAGAGCCTGTCAGTGTGTGTGTGTGTGTGTGTGTGTGTGTGAGCCTGTCAGAGTGTGTGTGTGTGAGCGTGAGGGAGACTCAGTGTCTGTGTGTATGTATGTGTGTGTATATGTATGTATGTATATATATATGTATATATACAAACTCTTGACAGACTTGCACACACACACACACACACACACGTGTGTGTGTGTGTGCAAGTCTGTCAAAGTGTGTGCGTGCAAGCCTGTTGTCAGCGTGAGTGTGTATGTGAGCCTGTCTGAGTGTGTGTGTGAGAGCCTGTCAGAGTGTATGCGCCTGTCAGTGTGTGTGTGCGCGCGAGCGCGTTTAGGTACCTACCCCCTCCGATCACATGAGGAAGATGTTTTAACTCACCTTTTTTCCCATTTTGTCATGCCATGCCAGTGATTATCAATCTTTATGATCTCAGCTAAGCCATTGCTTTCCCTGAGGAAAGCATTGGGAGGATTTTGTGCATGCGCAGCAAATGTACCAATCCGCATCTCCTCATATAGATGCATTAAATTAATGAATCTCTATAAGGAACATTCAATGCCTCCATGCAGAGCTTGGAGACACTGACCTTGGGTGCTGCCCGTGGTGCAGCTGTGACCCAGGACTCTCTAGTGGCTGTCTGGCAGTGTTTACACTGAAACGCCTGCAGGGACAGTCTATAGACACCAGAACAACTACATCAAGCTGTAGTTGTTTTGGTGACTATAGTGTCCCTTTAAGAATTGCATTTTCTTGTTGAAAATGACTAGCTCCTAACTTTTTTAGCTGGCTCCTAGATTCCAAACAAATTTGTCAAGCCCTGATTTAAAGGTTTGACATGAACGCATATTTGACTGTGTGACATATATCAATTGCTTGAAAATGACCCTGCTTTACCTTTTAAAATTGCTGAACAAATTTACTAAGAAAACGTAAGCTTGTTGGAGCAGGGTCCTCATCAACCTGTTGTGTCTGTTACGTTTTGCAATTGTCTCTTCAATTGTTAAATTTCCCCCTTTATAATATTGTAAAGTGCTGTGGAAAAATTGGCGCTATATAAATGCCAATAATAATTAAAACTCCCATACTTATCTTAAAAAATAAGATCTTTGGCACGTGTAACAATCCAATATATTTTTCTAGAACATTTATTGGTGTTTAGGCATAATATCAAAATTATGTGTTACATAGGACCCAGATAAGCATTTTCATTGTAAAAGCCAAATAACAAAGCACCATATATTGTACATATCAAGAAAGGTGAGCTATTGTGGTTGAAAAGCAGTGTTTCCTGAGGCCCGTACATGATTGCTTACATCCCTCTTATCTACTTTAGTCAGAAATAGAACCATCTGGTAAATTTAAATGTCTGTGGAATTTGGGCTCCCAATATTGAATGACTGTTGAGATCTTGCAGTCTTTGTACTGGGAGGCTTCAATCCAGTTCATTGTGAACACATGGGGCAGTTGAGTTTGGTATATTGCCAAAGTTAGCTAGATACATGTGTAAAGAATGGTTTTCCTAGCACTTGCCAACACTATCTGTATGTACCTAACTTTTTTTGGGCTACTGTCGGGGAACATACCAAAAGCTCCGGGGACAGTGGTTTTGGAAAGAGTAAGGTTGTTTCAAGATAAGCCCTGACAGCCACTACAGACGCTTCCGCCGAAATATTGTAAAACATGCGTACCTACAATCCATTGCTTCTCTTAAGAGTTCAGGGGCATAGTGCTTGATTTATCAGAATTAATTTTGTATTCTGCCTGTTCTCCAAAAGCTGGAAGAATTCGGAAAAGGGGGGGCTAGGGAAGACAGAGAATCCATTATAGTGAGAAGAACAACATCGGCATAAGCTGATAATTTATGTGTGTCTGGACCTACAGGTATTCCTTGGATATTTGGATGTTCCCTAATCTGGTGTAGGAGTGGTTCTAGGGACAGCTCAAACAGAAGGGGAGAAAGGGGGAAACCCTGTCTAGTGCCATTCTAATTGTAATAGGCTTACGTTCCAAATGTGGCATGATCACCTGAGCCTACTGCCTCAATAGGCCAAATAAAAGGAGGGAAGCCCACTACCTTAATAGGACAAATAGGTAGTCATTTGACCCTATCAAAGGTCATCTCAGGTAAATTCCTTATTTTCGTTACCTAAAGAAGATCAGAACTTTTCCCAGTATTTTTAAACAGCTTACTTTTCATTACCTAAATAAGATCAGCAGTTTTCCTAGTATTTTCAAACACTTGTCTTTCGGGAATAAAACCGAGTGTATGAGTCTTTGCAACAAAGGTTTTAATGTGGCCCCTAATGCATGAGCCAAAATTATCCTATCCATATTTAATAAGGAGATGGGTCTTTAATTTTCGACCCCTCGTGGGTTCCCTCCCATCCTTTGGCAAGAGCACTACCTGGTTCATCTTTTTAAAATAGTGACCTTCTCCTCTAAAGGAGTTGAATAATTTTGTGAGATTAGGGATTAGGATATTTTAAAGACTTTTGTAATGTGCACTACAAAAACCATCAGGCTCAAGTATCTTCTGTCCCTTCCAAGTGGAGATAACATGGGGTGCCAACTTCACAGCTAGAGTTAAGTCTTGGAAAATCCAGGATAAATATTGGAGAAATGGAAACTGTGACGGACAGCCTGGCACTCCGACTGGGTACCTCCGCCAATCGTTGCTTCCTAGCTGACGCTGAGTACCATAAGCACTACACTAGACACCATAAGCACCGTAGCCCCTTAGCCGCCGCAACTTGGCTGGTGTCTTGCCGTCCCTTCCCACCCTGGACCGAACTCCTGGATTCAACTTCCAACGGGAAGGCCTCTCCTCCAACAGAGTATAGCAGTGTAGCTCTTACAAGAGCTGGTGATCATAGCAATCCAAAGAACAATCCCAGCAGCAGGGATTATAGCAGGTATAGCGGTTCCCTCAAGCATGAGACAAGGCTCTTTGTTGAGGGTAAGCAGGAACTGAGTTTAATGGGAGCCACAGCTGGTTTTATATGCAAGTACCCATGCAAGGGGCACTCCCCCTGGACCTGAGAGTAAACCACAACAGAAACAAATACACATTTCATTGGTTCTCAGATCCAGGACACTCCCACACATAACTAGGTTAATCCCTCCTCTGTACGTGGGAGACAATTGAGTCAAGTACGGTATTACTGTGTTAACTCAATTATTTCCAGACACAAACCCCCAAAATACCTTTAAAACATACAAAACCCCCACAAAAGTTATATCCCCCGATAGTCCAGATCGGTTCAGGGGTTCAGTAATTTCATGGAAATCTTATTTTTGACCGACCACACGCATGGTCCTATGCCTAAAACAGTTCCAGAGAATCAGGGCTTGCGGTCGGTCTACTTCGGTAGTTTAGAAACCGAACAAACTACCAAACATAGTCAATGTTCTTACCCTGGAGCTTTTTCCCCTCATCCAGACGAACGATTCTTTCAAACAGTGCCCTTCTAAATTGTATAGAACTGAATGCAGGCGATAATGGAAGTCCAGCGGTTATCGGGAGTTTCTGTGTCCAATTTTAGTTCCATGAAATTCATGCCCAAACACCGCTGCCTGCTTTCATTCGAACAAGATGGCCGCCACCTCGGTTGTCCATAGGAATTGCGGCCACCCAGACGAACAATTAGACCACTGCGGTGAGAACCATTCCAAGATGTTAATAGGTGTTAACAAGTTCCCGGGTGGTACCTGGTTCGTGCGGTTTGTTCGGTAGTCGAACGGGACGTTAGAATAGGAGGGGAATGCAATCTACCGAACAGACAAGCGAATGGAACAGAAAGCTTTTTTTATCCATGGACAGGGAATCTGTCAAAGAAACATTGTTTCATTCCCCTGTTCTTTCTGCTTTTTCAATTGTTACTAACAGGTGAAGGAAAGGCTGTATAGTAGAGAGATGGTGGTACCCCTTTGCAAGAATTAGAGATGTGTATTTCTATCGGACACTGTATCCCTGTAACAACATTGCTGTTAAAATGTAGTTGTATGGAAGAACTATTTTTTTGTGAAATGGCTTTACATGTTGTGACATAAATTGGTGGAACTGTATTTAGAGCCCTTGCATCGTAACCACTACAGTAGGCTTCAATGGCATTCAGATGGTCTAGAAAATTGTGCAGAATATAGTTTATGCCTATAGCCAAGCTATTTGTGTCATGATGAAATACAAATATGTATTTCATTAAGAAGGCTTTAAAGTGAACTTGGTACTCCAAATTCATCTTGTACTATAACAATTTCCAAGACACTAATATATTGTTTATCATTAATTATACATTTTGTGGTTTAGGCACTGTCATAGCTTTACTTACCTTCCTCAACTTGCTCCAGCACTACCATTCTTGAAGCGATCTGATTTACAGTGCTGTAAATGATCCATTTCTGCCCCCCATTGGCTGCAGTGACTGGAACACATGTTTAACCCTTTAAGGACTGGACTGTTTTTGCGATGTTGTACATTTGCGACCAGGCCTCTTTTTACACTTTTGTGGTGTTTGTGTTTAGCTCTAATTTTCCGCTCTCTCATTTACTGTTCCTATACAAATTATATATTGGGTTTTTTTCAGGACAAAAAAGGCTTTCTTTACATACCATTATTTATATAATCTCATTTAATTTAATTTTAAAAAATATGATGAAAAATTGAAAAAAATTCATGTTTTTTAACTTTTACTTGAAAAATCTTTTACTCATCTACAAAAGCGAATAAAAAAAACTGCTAAATAGATTCAAAATTTTGTCCTGAGTTTTAAAATACCCAATTTTTACGCGCTTTTTTGCTTTTTTTTTTGCAAGTTATAGGGCTATAGGTACAAGTAGGATATTGCGGTTTCAAAACATAAATTTTTTCAAATTTATCAATAGTGACATTGTAACACTATATTCTATATAAATCTCTGAATAACACCCCACATGTACATATTTTTTTTTTTTTAAAGTAGACAACCCAGGGTATTCAATATGGGGTATGTCCAGTCTTTTTTAGTAGCCTCCTAGTCGCAAACACTGGCCAAAGTTAGCATTCATATTTGTTTGTGTGTGAAAAAAGTAAAAAACTAAATTGAACGCTAATTTTGGCCAGTGTTTGTGACCAAGTGGCCACTAAAAAAGACTGGACATACCCCATTTACAATACCTTGGGTTGTCTTCTTTTGCAAATGGTATGCCATCACGGGGGTAATTCTCATTCCTGGGCTACCATACGCTCTCAAAGGCAACGTAACCAACCTGGCCTTTTTCAATGTAAAAATATTTTACCCATATATTTGACCTTGTAACTTTCAAAAACGCTATAAAATCTGTACATGGGGGGTACTGTTATACTCGGGAGACTTTGCTGAACACAAATATTAGTGTTTCAAAACAGGAAAACGTATCACAACAATTATATCATCAGTAAAAGTGCTGTTTGTGTGTGAAAAATGCGAAAAAAGTCACTTTCACTGACTTTGTGTTCACCGAAGTCTCCCGAGTAAAACGGTACCCCCTCCCCTCCCCCCCCATGTACAGGTTTTAGGGTGTCATAGAAAGTTACAGGGTAAAATACAGTGCTAGCATGTTAAATTCTCTGGACTTTCGACCTGGGTTGGCAGGCAGGTCCCTCAAATTGCAATTAATAAAATTACTTAATTATGTAAAAATATTACATAAATATGCACTTAGAATTTTAATATATATGCATATTTATATATTTGAAGTCTACGTGTATATTTATATAATTATTTATGTAATTTTGTATATGGACATATGTATATTTCGCATTATTTTTATTTATTTATATATACATAGATATATATACAATTTCATTCTAAGTGTATTTTGATATAAATATATATATTTTAATATCAAAATACAGTTAGAATAAAATTTCATAGATATAATTTTTTTAAACGGTTTATTATTTTTTTATTTAATTTACTTATTATTTGTATTTTATAATTATATATATATATATATATATATATTTATTATATATATTATATATATGTGTGTAATTTAATTATAAGTGTATTTTTATATTAATATAAGTATACATTAATATAAAAATACACTTAGTATGACATTATATATGATATTTAGACATATATAGATATATGTCTATATATATATACACATAAGTAATAATATTTTTATTTATTAACATTAACATGTATTTATTTTTTATTTTACACTAGCAGGAAGACTGCCTGTCAGCACAGACAGACCCCCTGCAGGCAGACACATGGACACCTATTGTGACCATGTGATTGCTCTGTTAAGCAATCACACGGCCACAGGGGTCCTAATCCGCCATGGAGAGACTGTCTGGGCTGCAGGCAGTCTCCCCACACCGGGAGCACCGCCGATCGCCGCCGGGGGAACGTCGGCGATCGGGTAAGTACACAAGACCGTTAGGACGGTTCAGGACCGTCACCGATCAGCAACGCAAAAATGCTGATGACTGTCCTGAACCGTCCTAGGTCGTTAAGGGGTTAAAGCTGGACATTTGATTGACAGCTATAGAGGGGGCAAAACATTAAAGGGCATTTAATTAAAATCTATAAATTTGCTAACATTTCATTTAGCCTATTGTTTAATTGGGTTTTGAAGGACCACTTAAAGCACCAAAGCAACTTTAGCTTAATGAAACAGTTTTGGCATGTAGATGCCCTTGCAATCTCACTGCTCAAACCTCTGCCATTTAGAAGTTAAATCACTTTTGTTTTTGTTTATGCAGCCCTAGCCACACCTCTCCTAGCTGAGTCACACAGCCTCCAAGGAAAAATTTATTTTATTTCCAAACCATTCCTACAGCATGGTGTGTTTAATTTAGAAGTTTATTTTCCTACTCTGTTAATTAAACTTTAATCACAAACGTTAGGCTCCTAATGGTTGTAGGAGGCGACAGAGAACAAGATAATAAATTCTAAATGAAACACACTGTACAATAAGGGTTGCCAAAATATTCCTTTTCCGGGGTTGTGGGGGAGATGGGGGGGTGTGAGTCACAATCAGTGGAGGTATTTCAAATACTGCATAAACAAAGTGATTTAACTCCTAAATGGCAGATAATTGAGCAGTGTGGTTGCAGGTACATGATATTTACACAAATACCACTACATTAAGATAAATTTATTTTGGTACTTAGATTGTCCCTTTAATATAAAACGAAACTGTGTTTACCAGGACCGGTACACTTTAATTTTTCAAAAAATACTCCTCTTTGTGATATAACAAACCAGCAGTGTAACATCTTACTTCTTCTCACTACACTTGACTGATGAACCAGTGTGCAAATATTACATATTTCATATGGTTTCAAAGAAGCACTTGATGCCACATAGGTGAAATGGCATGTGACTAAATGCTTACAAGAAAGGAGACCACTCGTGACTGTAATGAATTTGCTTTTTCTCTGCCTTGTATAAAGTCTCTGTAGAACATTCCATTCTTTGAGTGGCAGCATCTAAATAAAAGTACATTACACAAGAGTACAATGCATTCAAAATCAAGCTATTCAGGATTCACACCTCCATATATGACATTTTTCTATCAAAGACACATTGCACCTTAATGCCAGTTCTCTGGTAACGAGGCATTCCGAACATTCATGTTCCCAGTATCCCTTTCTTACGTCCTTGTCTTTGCTCATTTTTCTCTTTTCCTGCATTTTGTTGCCCTGTGTTCCACAGCCCATTCACCGTATTAAAAAAGGAATCTGCTTTGTGTATTTTATAAAGCCTGTTATTTTAAGGATATAGTTTAGCAGTGTTAAGAGCCATTTATGTTGTATGTTATTGATTTTTAATTAATACTGCCTTGGTTATTTTTCCCCACTGGCCGACCTAGTAACAGCTTGTGGCATTTTTTGTATTATTTCTTGTCTTCCCCTTTTGTATTTTGCACAATGTTACTTACTCCCAATGAGAAAGTACCTCATACAGGTTAAATGTGTTAAAGAACAAGTATAGCATTTGCTGCTGGGAAGCCTTGATCCTCTGCCAAAGTATTCAAACAATTTAGTGTTTTGGTTTC